CCTCCCTTCCCCTGTGATCCTCTGTCTTGTTTCTCAAATTCCTCATATCAGTGAGATCATATGATAATTGTCTTTCTCTGATTGACTTATTTCACTTAGCATAATAGCCTCTATTTCCATCCATGTCGTTGGAAATGGCAAGATTTCAAGTTTTTTGATGGCTGCATAATATTCCATTGAGTATAGATCCCACATGTTCTTTATCCATTCATCTGTTGTTGGGCCCCTAGGCTCTTTCCATAGTTTGGCTATTGTGGACATTGCTGCTATAAACACTGGGGGGCACATGCCCCTTTGGATCACTACATTTATGTCTTTAGGGAAAATACCCGGTAGTATAATTGCTGGGTCATAGGGTAGCTCTATTTTCAACTTTTTGAGGATCCTCCATACTGTTTCCCAGAATGACTACACCAGCTTGCATTCCCACCAACAGTGGAGGAGTGTTCCTGTTTCTCCTCATCCTTGCCAAAACCTGTCGTTTCCTGACTTGTTAATTTTAGCCATTCTGACTGGTGTGAGGTGGTATCTCACTGTGGTTTTTCCTCTTCTTTTTAAAATGATTTTATTTATTTGAGAGAGAGAGAGAGAGAGAGAGAGAAAATGAGTAGGGGGGGCAGAGGGAAGAGAGAAGCAGACTCTCCTCTGAGCAGGGAGCCGTATGTGGGGCTTAATCTCAGGGCCCCAATTTCATTTTATGATTAACTAGTTTTCAGGACTTCAGTTTTTATGAAGTGTGTTTCTTGGATCTGTGAGTTTATAGTTTTCACCACACTTAGGAATCTATTATCCATTATTCCTTCCAAAATATGTATTTCCACCCCTCCTTTTTAAAAAAGATTTTATTTACTTATTTGACAGATAGAGATCACAAGTAGGCAGAGAGGCAGGCAGAGAGAGAGAGAGAGAGAGAAGCAGTCTCCCTGCTGAGCAAAGAGCCCGATGCAGAGCTCGATCCCAGGACCCTGTGACCATAACCTGAGCCGAAGGCAGTGGTTTAACCCACTGAGCCACCCAGGCGCCCCGGCATACCTAATAATTTTTAATTGAATGATGGACATTGTCAATTTTACTTCTTCTGATATACAGTTAATTTACTTGTGGTTCAGTTTGATTCTCTCAAAGCTTATATTCAAGCTTTGTTAACTAGGTTTAGAATAACCTTCTTTGGAGAGATATTGAGTCCAACCAGTAAGGCATGGCCCCTCATTGCCTCCACTGAATGCCCTAAATGATGAGTGAGGACTCTCCTTTTGGGCTGATCATATCTTGAACACCTTCCAGCTTTGAGTGAGTTCTGGGAACTGTTTACTTCATAGCTACCTATCTTTTATATGTGTGACCTTATGGAGTTTCATCCTATGCGTGCACAATTTAGTATTCAGCAAAGACTCTGGAGGGGGGGGGGTCCCATGCAGATTTCTGAGGCCCTTTTTCTGCATAGCTCCCTATTCTCTCTTATCACCTCTGCAGGCTATTACATACATATTCTTAGTTTTCTTTCTTTTTTAAAAAAAAGATTTTATTTATTTGAGGGAGAGTGAGAGAGAGTGAGAGAGAGCATGAGTGGGGGAGGAAGGAGAGGAAGAGGGACAAACAGAATCCCTGCCAAGCAGGGAGCCCAAGGTGGGGCTCAATCCCAGGGTCCTGGGATCATGACCTGAGCTGAAGGCAGATGCTTAACTGACTGAGCCACCCGGGCTCCCCACATACTCTTTTTTCTGTCATGTCAATTCATCCCAATATTTCTTTTTTTCTCTCTGTGATTTACTGGTCAGTCTTTTGTTAATTCCAGTATCCTGAATTTTTTTCTTATTTCATCACCCTGACCTAGAAAAACTTCAGCATTAATTGAATCTAGAGTCCATTTTCCCCTTGTGTCTACAACTATGGCAATTTTGTGCAGCTGAATACACAACTTGGTAGACTGGTGTCAGCATAAATGTTTCATTGGAAGTAGCCTGAATTCCTCCTGTGATTCTGCCTAGCAGATCCCTTCTATTTCATCTTTCAACTCTTTCTATCATTATCTGCCACTGGGCTTTCAAATATTCTCAGCCATCCTCAGATCTTTATGCTTCTTCCTCCCTTTTAAAATATGCTTGTGTCCTACATCATAGAGAGGTTGAAGTTATCTGTTGAGAAATCCCTGTGTTTCCTCCCACAATTCAGAATGATCCTCACTTTATGCCCATTCCTTTTTATTTTTTTAAGTTTTATTTATTTAACTAATCTCTACACTCCGCTGGGCCTTGAACTCATGACCCTGAGATCAAGACTCAAATGCCCCCCTGACTGAGCTAGCTAGATGCCCCATGCCCATTCTTTTTCCCTACACGTATGTTAAGTGATGAATTCCTTTTTAAAACTAAGATTAGGGGTGCCTGGGTGGCTCAGTGTTAAGTGTCTGCCTTTCAGCTCAGGTCATGATCCCAGGGTCCTAGAATTGAGCCCCTGCATCAGGCTCCCTGCTCAGTGGGAAGCCTGCTTCTCCCTCTCCCACTCCCTCTGCTTGTGTTCCCTCTCTCGCTGTGTATCTCTCTGTTAAATAAATAAATAAAATCTTATAACAACAACAAAAAAAAAACCCTAAGATTATTTTTTTTGCTAATGCACTGGCCCAGTGTTTCTTCTCCTCCTCCTTCTTTTTACTTAGTAATGGACTTTGATTTAATTAATATTAAATATGTCTTTTTACCATAATCAAACAAATCCAATCTACCAGCTCTTACCAATCAGTATTTAAACTCTCTCTCTTCCCCATGAAGTTCTGGTTACTCTTTTACAGTTACATTTATTGGTAGAGTGATCTGTACTCCCCTCCGTTTTCTCACTCCCATACACCGAGTGCATAGTAAATTGGCCTTCCATCACACAGCCCCATCACATTTATTTTATCTTTTAAAATGGGTCTCTGTCAATACCTACCGCCTTGTTTACTTATTTTTTAAATTGTCATGTATTTATTTTAAGTAGTCTCTACACCCAAGGTGGGGCTCAAACTCACAACCCTAAGATCAAGAGTCACACACTCTTCCAACCGAGCCAGCCAGGTGCCCCTCTTCTGTCTTGTTCAGATATCCCCCACGCTCCTTCCTTGGAAAGCCTCTTGTTTTCCCTACCAAACCTTTGATAGGTGGAAGTCATTCAGGCCTGTGAGATCTACAAATTATCTTCTAGGAAATGTACCCCTCAGAGATTTTCCAAAGATAAGGCAGAGTCCTATGTTATTCTCTAAGCCCTCACTGTTTAACGACCTCACAATTATTTGACCTCATCCCTGTAGGGAATACAGAAAAATGTTTTCTTCCTGCTCCCTCTGATAGCATCTTGCAATATTTTCTTGAAACACCAATAATTAATTTGGATAATTAGTATGCTGAGAAAAAAATGTTTAGAGATTTTTCTTGGAGACACTGTCATTGATGCTAGAAATAACATAATAATCACAGCTCTAAAGAGATGAGGTCAGTAAAACCAAGCCTGTAACTGAGGGTTCAGCTTTTCCCTCCCATGGCAAATCTGGTAAACTTTGGCTTTACCGTCTTCTAACAAAGGTTGCTCAGGTGAGTGGAGTTTTAGTTCAGATTTAGAAACTGGGAGAAAAGAGGGGTGGATATTCAGAGATGGGAATCTGCATAGCATCTGGACAATACTGCCTTTTCACGAGTACACACAAGAATCCGTGTAGAGCCTGCCTTACTGGGAAAGGATGTTCTTTAATCATTTGGAGATTCTCTTCCCCTTGCCCACTTCCCTACAGTGTCTCCTTGATTCTTTCTCTGCATTAGTTCTGCCCCAATTTTTACCTCTGTTCTTTGATTAAACCTTAGTCTGAGATTCCTTAAGTGTGGGATCAAAATGCATTAAATGTATAATAGGGAAAATTAAAGGCCTGATGCATAACATAGAATGTCTTAAATAAATATTAGAATGTCTTAAATACATATTAACATCTTCTGTTTCCAATGGACCTTGTCTGGATGAGACTGAATTTGGGCAATTTATTTATATGGGAGAGTGCTACGTGTGCACGGCATGAAAAATTTTAAAACATTGTCTGCATCTTAATTAGATTGGTACACTAAGAAATTATATCTTATTGTAAGTTCTGATCTTTTAATCAAAATAATACACCTTGGAACACATGCCAGACCCAATTACGGAAGAAGGCATGCTTACCTGTGACTATCTCACAGCTGGGTTCTCATTTCCAATAGCATACTTGAAACCAAAACCAAAATTCTGAGACGTGGTATATTGTTCTTACAATCAGACATCTGATGTGGATCCTTCCTTCTGCTCTGTGTTCCAGGGACATAAAAATCCTGAAAGCAAATATGACCGATCAGGACCATGGCTAGCACAGGGTCAGTGCTCACAGGGGCTTAAAGATTTGGTGCAATCTCACTGAACCTTGGGGGACATGGACTTTAGGAAGCCATCTTCACACTTTTTTGCTCAAGCACAGAGCCCATACAGAATTCATCATCAGCCACCATATTCCCTTGGTCAGCAGCACCTCTGCTGCTATTTCTATCTGCGTGTATGTGTCTGGTTCCTGCTCTTTCCTTTGCCCTGAAATTTATTTGTCTGTTAATATTTGATTTGACAATCCAACTTTATACTTTCCAAATCATCCACCAATTATTCTGGTCCCTCATACCAAATGGCTGTTTTCTAATTTGTTGAATTTTCTATTTATTTATAATTTTTAATAATTTTATTTATTATAGAATTATAGATTCTATAGATAATAGAATGATTCTAGTTAATAATTATATTAATAAATATAGTTGATAATTATACCAATAATTATAATTTATAGATAATAGAATTATTATAGAATTATAAATAATTCTATTTATTTATAATTTATTTATAATTTTTATATTATATAATAATTACATATTTATAATTTTCTCTGGACACTTCATCCTGACCCATTGATATATTTGACTGGTTTTCAATTGTACCCACACTTTAATTGCTGTAATAAGTTCTAGGAAATCAGGTAAGCAATCCATTGTTATTATTATTTTTTAAAAAAATGAATCAGTTTCTATATGTTTGAAAATTTTGGTAATAAAGTATTGGGGAAAACGACTTGGATTTTCTTGTACAATTATAGCTAAATTTCGAGATAAATTTCCCAATTCTCCCCAAAGCTGTCTTGCTATTTTGACTGACATTGAACTGAATCTACACATTTGAAGAAGTTTCAAGAATTGAATCTATACCTTTGAGGAAGTATCAAATCTTGAGGCATTATATCTTCCCATCCAGGAACATGCGATGAATTCCTCTCATTCAAGATTTTTTTAATGCTATTTATTTATTTTTTTACTTTTCTATTTCCAGCATATTACTGATCTAGTTTAGTTCCAAGATTTGAAAAGTGTTTATTCATAATATATCTTAAATTTTTAAAAAGATTTTATTTATTTACTTGACAGAGAGAGACAACAGTGAGAGAGGCAACACAAGCAAGGGGAGTGGGAGAGGGAGAAGCAGGCTTCCCGCTGAGCAGGGAGCCTGATGCGGGACTCGATCCCAGAGTCCTGGGATCATGACCTGAGCCGAAGGCAGGGGCTTAATGACTGAGCCACTCAGGCACCCCTCTATTTTAAATTTTTGTATACTTGTGTAACATTTGAGCAAATTACTATCTTATTACTTCTAAAATATTTCAGCATGTTCTTCAAATGTTACACATAAAAATGATCTAATTTTCAAAGAGAAATACCTTTTTCCTGCCATTTTGTTGACCAAGTCAGAAAAAAAATGAATTGTGTGCATGAGTTCACGTTAGTCATTTCTCCCCCATGAAATGAGATTGTTTCTAATATTCATTGTCATATTAATCGTGGGTAGTCTCGGAATATATCTTCGTCAATGTTGTATTATTTTTAAGATATACTGCTCATCCAGTTTAGGTCCTTTATTCAAGAGTTGTATTAAAAAATTACATAGGGGGACACCTGGTGGCTCAGTTAAGTGTCTGCCTTCAGCTCAAGTCATGATCCCAGGGTCCTGGGATCAAGTCCCACATCGGGCTCCTTGCTCAGTGGGAAGCCTGCTTCTACTTCACCTGCTGCTCGCCCTGCCTGTGCGTGCTCTCTCTCCCTGACAAAAAATTACATTGGTTTATAGGAAGATAACATTTGACAGAGGGTATTTGATAGGATCCAGTGCAACATAAGCTACTTGAATACCTATCTGTCAGATAGATTAGGCTTTTACATAAACAAAACCAAGCAAATGCTCAAATCAAGCAAGAACATGCAGTTTCAAATAACACAATTAGTGAGCTTAAAGCATTATTTTTAACAGATTTTATTTATTTGTTTGACAGAGAGAGAGAGAACGCACAAGCAGGGGTAGCAGCAGGCAGAGGGAGAGGGGGAAGCAGACTCCCCACAGAGCAGGGAGCCTGATGGGGGCTCAGTCCTAGGACCCTGTGATCATGACCTCAGCTGAGGACAGATGCTTAACTGACTGAGCCACCCAGGCGCCCCTTAATGCACTATTTTTAACAATTAAGTGGTGGATATGCATTCTGTGTTAAGAAATCTGTCAATGTAAAGAACATATTGAAATGACTTTTGGCGTGAAAATAATGACTCTATTCATATTTGTTTATTCATGTAATAGATATTAATTGACTGCCTACTAGTAACAGATTGTTCTAGACCCTGGATATGGACTGAAAACATGGAGACAAGACCCCTGCTTTGTGGCTCTCATAGTTCTGTTGGAGGAAATGGTCTTCCTTTGATAGAAATAAGGTTATCCAATAAGATCATTTCAGTTGTTATAAGTACCACATGAGATATAGTAGGTAATGAGGAGAAAAAAAAACTTCAGGGTTAGGATTTTTGTGCATGACAAGAGGATAGGTTTCCCAGAAAGGAGTTTTTAAAGAAATTATGGTGAGAACTGTAGTTCACTTGACTTGAAGACACTCATGTGTTCTTTCTGTTTCTGTCCAGGTGCTATGGACCTGAGCAAAATCATACCTCAGTCATGACCTTCAGTCACCGAAGCAATGATTTCTGCTAACTTGGCAATAGGTATGGTCATCCTTGCTCAAACTGGAATAAGGACTGTGGGTAATGCTTTACTCTGTTGCCATGTCTGCTCTCTTTTTCGGAGACCTAGATTGAGACCATTAAGGCAAATAATCAACCATCTTGCTTTAGCCAATACTTTGATCCTTCTTTGTGGAGGAATCCCTTTGACAATGGTAGCCTTTGGGTTGAAATATTTCCTATATAATGTCATACATAAACTTGTCTTTTATTTTCAGAGTGGCCTAGGGAAATTCTCTTAGCATCACCTGTCTTTTGGGTGGTTTCCAGGCCTTGAGTATTGACCCTACAAACTGTAGATAGGCAGAACTCAAATTCAAATCCCCAAAGCACATTAATTCACCATGTGTCCCAAGTTGAATGTTTCATTGGCTGATAAATATCATTGCTCCCATGAAAGCGACTGGACCAAAGACTAGCAGAAATGTCAGTGTGAAATAAAATCTGGGGTATTGCCCTAATTGATTGATTAATGCAATTACAGAATCAACACATTTAATTATTTTCACCTCTATTGATGTTATTTGCTTGGGATTCATGATATGGGCCAGTGGGTACATGATATTTTTCCTTCACAAGCACCAACAGCAAGTCCAACACATTCCCAGCACTAGGCAATCCTCCCAAATATCCCCAGAGACCAGAGCCACAAAAGCTATCCTAAGACTTGTGAGCAGTTTTTCTATATTTCATTCTCTCTCTTCCGGTTTTGAAATGCATGCTTATCTTTTTGACAACCACCCGTTGTGGCTTGTGAACACCAGTGTGCTTCTAGCATCTTGTTTTCCAACCCTCAGTCCCTTTTTGCTCTTAAAAAGGGACCCTCGTATCTCCAGCTTCTGCTGTCCCTGCTTGCGGAAGTTGTAGAATTCACCCAACTACTGACAGCCTTCTAGAACATTGGATCTCCTACTGTCAAGTATATGAAGTGTATTCTCGGCACCACTGATGTGTGTTAGACACAGTGGTGAACAGCAAGGGTATTTGCTCCAATGAAGTCAGTGGGGAATCCAGACGTCAGACAAATAATGATAGAATTGCAGTCGCGCGGACTGGTGCACTGAGGAACTCAGGACAGCATGTTTAAGGACTGTGGGAAGCTTCCCTTTGTATCTGCAGCTTAGGCTACTCCCTGAGCATTTTGGAGGAAGTTTGCCAGCCTTAGTGGGTGCTTTGGGTAAACAGAAAAGCGTGTCTGGACACCATTTGCAGGAAGGAACAGAGAACATACAAAGAACTGAAGGAAACCCATGTACATTGTATGCCAAGAGCAAGGGACTTTGGCATGATCGAAGGACGGATGACGATTAGCTAGGTCTTACAGATTAGGTGAAGAATTTGTATCATGACTCTCAACAGTTGTTTCAGACAATTTAAGGATTTTCGTCTAGGAGAAAGGAGGCATTAAAAAAAAACGTCCAATTTGCATACCCATTCTGAGCATGGTTTATTGGATTGAGCAACAGTGGCCTTGGGAAGCAGATACGGGAGACTGTTGAGGTCCACCAGGTGAGAGAGGACGATGCTTCTGATGAAGATGATGAAAATGAACATGAGGGGGAGCAGCACATGGACTTGAGAAAAACTTCCTTAGAAAGAAGGAAGCAGGGGCGCCTGGGTGGCTCAGTGGGTTGAGCCTCTGCCTTCGGCTCAGATCATGCTCTCATGTTCCTGGGATCGAGCCCCGCATCAGGCTCTCTGCTCAATCCCCCGACCCCCGCCTGCCTCTCTGCCTACTTGTGATCTCTGTCTGTCAAATAAATAAATAAATAAATAAAATCTTTAAAAAAAAAAGAAAGAAAGAAGGAAGCACTGAGCTTAGCAATCATCTTACCAATGGCTATTTAAGGCTGCTGTGGATAGTGGCTCACCATTCTCCAGAGACATGGGCACCTGGAGGGATTGCGGTGGTGTATCTCGATCCTGAGAAATTGGGAAGCTGTCCTTGGGGTGTAGAAATACCGCACATTCTTTTCAGCACGTGGCGTGTGTTGTGTCTCTAAGGCATCCGCTTCACGGATGTGTCTGGTGAGGTATCACACACGTATACATGAGCGGGGGACAGAGGGAAGGCTTGCTTTGGGGATACACATTTGGGTGCCGACAACATATATCGGTACTAGGGACTTAGGTAGGGTTGAAATAAGAGGAGGAGCAGTTTGAGAGTGGAGAGAATATGCCTGAGAACTTAGTAACAAGTTAGCTTCATTTAAAGATCTGATAGAGGAGATAGATCTACACTTCTACTCCATTCATTCCTTTATTCATTCATTTTATTTTTTTTTTAAAGATTTTTATTTATTTATTTGACAGAGAGAGATCACAAGTAGGCAGAGAGGCAGGCAGAGAGAGAGGAAGGGCTGGGGGAAGCAGGCTCCCTGCTGAGCAGAGAGCCCAATGCGGGACTCGATCCCAGGACCCTGAGATCATGACCTGAGCCGAAGGCAGCGGCTTAACCCACTGAGCCACCCAGGCGCCCCTATTCATTCATTTTAACAAGAATATTCAATGCTCCCTTACTATATGCCTGGCACTGTTATAGGCAATGTTTCAGATATGAATATATAGTTATACATCTGATAGGAAGAAGTAGTGGTCCTTATGGAGTTTATATTCTACTGTGAGTGGCAGAAAATATTAAATAGATACCATAGTATTTCAGCTGCTGTTAAGTGCTCTATTGAAAACTAATGAGTAGGAGGGGGACAAGAAATGCCCTGGGTGATTCAGGTTTGGTGGTTTGTTTTTTTTTTTTAAGATTTTATTTATTTATTTATTTGAGAGAGAGAGAGTGTGTACGTTCTCATGAGTAGGGTTGGGTAGAGGGGGAGGGAGAGGTAAACAGAACCTTTTCTTTTTCTAAAAGATTTTATTTATTTATTTGGCAGAGAGAAAAAGATCACAAGTAAGCAGAAAGGCAGGCAGAGAGAGAGGGGGAAGCAGGCTCCCCGCTGAGCAGAGAGCCCGATGCAGGGCTCAATTCCAGGACCCTGAGACCACGACCTGAGCTGAAAGTAGAGGCTTAACCCACTGAGCCACCCAGGCGCCCCTAAACAGAGAGAATCTTAAGCAGACTTCCCCTGAGCGTGGAGCCCGACGTGGGGCTTGATCTCATGACCTTGAGATCATAACCTGAGCAGAAACCAAGAGTTGGATGCCCAACTGACTGAGCCGCCCTGGCACCCCCTGTAGGTGATTCAGTTTTCAATAATCTGGTCGGGAGATCCTTCCTGAGAGTGTGATATTTGAGCAGAGTCTTGAAGGACTGGAGGGAGGACGTGATGCCTACAGCCTTTGGCAAGAACATAGAGGGTAGAGCGGATAGGTAGGGGAAAGATTGAGCAAGGACAGTTATTGGTGCGTTTAGGGAATAGGAAGGTGACCAGAGGGGCTGCGGGGAGACTGGGGAATGAGCCAGAGGAGGAGTTTAAAGTGCCAGCTTATATGAAGTATTGTAGGTAGTGTAACTATTTTGTCTTTTTTAGGGAGCCACTAGATATTTTTGAACAGAGGAATGACATGGCCCTATTTATCTTCTGAAAGAAAGATGATGGTGGTTTTCTACTCTACCAGTTCCAAGAGCTCCCTTCCCTAATGGTTTCAGGATGGGCTTGGCGGAGGCGATGTTTGTGCCATATTTGGAAGCTGGAAGAGAAGCAGTGGCCATATGCTCTGAAGGGCAGTGTGGCCCAGGTGCTGCCACAGCTCCCTACGGGGCTGCTCATCTGCTGACTCAGTGGCGGGCACGGGGCCCCAGCTCCTGCCAGGACCTTGTTCAGCTCCTCCCAGCACTGTGCCAGGTGTGTGTGCAGCCCAGGACTCGGTGCCCGCTTCTGCAGGTCGCCCACATTGTAGGAGGTGGAGGTCGTGAGGCACCGACTTGGGTCCCAATTTGTCCTCACCCTCTCCTATTTCACACTTAGTTTTTATGGCCTATGTGGCCTGTCAACTGACCTCAGGCCCACCCCTGGACCTGCATGTCATCCTGTAAACTCCCACAATGGTGGAAGGTCTAATCCTTATTTTAAGAAAACCTCCTATTCCATTCCCCTCCCAGTGGTTCTACTTCTCTGATTGACTCCAACCTGATACAATGATGTTCCTCCTGGGTTCTTGCTTGGGAGATCAAAGGACACAAGAAGGCAAAGTGCAATAACAAATTTGCGTATATTTTTACACATTTGCTTTTTTTCCTTTTCTGAGGCAGTTGCAATCCCCAGGCAAATAGGAGTCTTTTTTTTTTAAGATTTTATTCATTTATTTGAGAAAGAGTGAGAGCAAGAGAGATCACAGAGGGAGGGGGAGAAGTAGACTTACCACTGAGCAGGGAGCCCAGTGTGGGGCTCTATCCCAGGACCCTGAGATGGTGACCTGAGCCGAAGGCAGCCTGTTAACTGACTGAGCCAGTCAGATGCCCTTAAATGGCATCACTTTTAAAGTTTCTTTGTTTAAAAAAAAGTTTCTTTGTTGGTAGTATTTAGAAAGTACATAGAAATAAAATCAGCATTGTATTTTGAATTTGAATCCAGCAACATTGCTAAATTATAGTATATTGCTTAATTTTTTTAAAAGATTCTGTTTATTTATTTGACAGAGAGTGATCACAAGTAGGCAGAGAGGCAGGCAGAGAGAGAAAGGAGGAGGAAGCAGGCTCCCTGCCAAGCAGAGAGCCCGATGCGGAACTCGATCCCAGGACACAGAGATCATGACCTGAGCTGAAGCCAGAGGCTTAACCCATGCCCACCCATGCCCAGAATATTGCTTTATATTCCATTTTATTTTCTATGTGCACCATGCTGTCATCTGCAGGTAATAACAGGTTTATTCATTTTCATCCAATCTATATGCCTTTTATTCATTTGTCTTGCCTTAAATTCATTGGGTAGAACCTCTAACAACATGGCGAGAATGGGCATATTTACTTAATTCTGATGTTAGGGGGGAAAGCTTTCCATTTTCATCATTAATTATAATAACTCATCATTGTGATTCGCTGTAGAAATTTTTGATGTAATTGTAAGAATAAAGAGGTTTTCTTCGGTTCTCAGTTTGCTAAGAATTTTGCATTTCTTGAATAAATCCTATATATATATATATATATATATATATATATATATATGGTTGTGATATATATTTTTAAAAGATTTAATTTATTTATTTGACAGACAGAGATCACGAGTAGGCAGGGAGGCAGAGAGAGAGAGAGGGGAGGAAGCAGGCTCCCTGCTGAGCAGAGAGCCCGATATGGGGCTCAATCCCAGGACCCTGGGATCATGACCTGAGCGGAAGGCAGAGGCTTTAATCCACTGAGCCACTTAGTCACCCTGGTTGTGATATATTTTTTATTTTTTCTTGATTTATTGTATTTTGATAAGGAGTTTTGCATCTATGTTTATGAGATGCATTTTGAAATGTCCTTATCGGGTTTGGTATCAAAATTACTGGACTTTTACAATCAGTTGCAGTGTTTCTTTCTTTCTGTTCTCTGGAAGAATTTATGTAAGACTAATATTATTTCTTTCTTAAATGTTTAGAATTCCCTGGCGAATCAATCAGGCATGGAGTTTTCTTGTGGAAAAAAATTAAAATAGTGGTCCAACTTCTTTAATAGTGCTAGAATTCAGACTTTCTAGTTCTTCTTGTATCAATTTTCATAGGTTTTATTTTTCAAGAAAATTGGTCATTGAACTAAGTTTTCAAATACTGAGAAGTTGTCTATTGGATTCTCATTATCTTTAGAAATGTCTGGAGAGGGACACCTGGGTGGGACAGTTGGTTAAGCATCTGCCTTTGGCTCAGTTCACAATCCAGGGTCCTGGGATCAAGTCCCATGTTGGGTTCCTTGCTGAGGGTGGAGTCTCTGCCCCTCGTCACCGCTCATGCCCCCTCTCTCTCACTCTCGCATTCTCTCTCTCAAATAAATAAATAAAACCTTAAAAAAAAGAAACTGTGGTCATTTATTCCATTTTTTGATGCATACTTGACAACAGCAGAATCCCTACCTTTCCTCCTTAATATGATGAGTGAGTACTGTTACTATAAGAAGTGTCCTTGGAAAGCCCTTGGAAATTAATCTGACTGTTGCAATAGCAATTTGCAAGTGACACGTATATATGGCATTGCGAGGAGAGTGACTTTGTCAAAGTATAAAAGAGGCAAATGCAGTGACTCCTATCACCTACCTCTCTGCTGACTTCACTTGTTTAGCTTGTGTTGAAGTGGGTGGAGTTTGGATACTGACTATAGCTAATCATTAAATCAATCAGGATTCCTAATTTCTGTGCATTAGGTGATGGCTGGTTAAATTCATAACAGATGCCAGTAGTACAGATGTCTCAGCTACGTCACCCAAATGACAGTCGTTGCTGCATTTAGCAACTCCCTCTACTTAGAAGCACAGTGTTAGTAGCCTCTGAGTGGCTCAGTCAGTTGAGTGTCTGACTCTTGATTTTGTTTTGGGCCATGATCTCGGGGTCATGGGCTCCCGTCCCACCTCAGGCTCTGCACTGGATGGGGAGTCTGCTTGGGTTTCCCTCTCTCCCTCTGCCCGCCTTCCCCCACCCAGTTCACTCTCTCTCCCTCACTCTTTCTCTCTCTCACACACACAAAAAGTGCAGTGTTTGTTTGGTTTTGGTTTCTGTACATTTTAAACATACATACCATTTGAATGTGCTGCTCTGACCCATTTTTTATGAAATAGGCAGTATTGATTGGGTTCCAAAGCTAGAGAAGATTTGGCAAGTCTTTTTTAAAATTTTTTTAAAAGATTTTATCTGTAAGTAATCCCTACGCTGAATGTGGGGCTCAGACTCACAACACTGAGATCAAAAGTCACATGCTTCAATGACAGAGCCAGCCAGGTGCTCCTGGCAAGTCTCTCTTTTTTTTTTTTTTTAATGAGATATAATTGACATATAGCATTGTATTAGTTTTAGGTGTATAATGATGATGACATAATGATTTGATATTTGCATAGATTGTGAAATGATTAAGCAAAATAAATTTAGTTAACATTCATTACCAAACATAGCTACACATTTTTTTCTTGCAATAAGAACTTTTAAGATCTGAGATGCCTGGGTAGCTCAGTCAATAAGCGTCTGCCTTCAGCTCAGGTCATGATCCCAGAGACCTGGGATTGAGTCCCACATTGTGCTCCCTGCTCAGTGGGGAGCCTGCTTCTCCCTCTGCCTGCTGCTCCCCCACGTGTGCTCTCTCTTTCTCTCTCTGACAGATAAATAAATAAAATCTTTTAAAAAAGAACTTTTAAGATCTATCTTAGTCACTTTCAAATATATGTTTTGATCTTATCAAATATATGATATGATATTGTTAACTATAGTCACAATGCTGTCTGTATATTACAACCCCAGGGCTTATTGATTTTATAACTTTTGAAGTTTATACCTTTTGACTCCCTTCACCCACTCCACCCCTCTATTTTACTATTGATGTACTTCATTCTCTTAGTTTCTGAACCACCCCATTCTTTTCTGTCCTACATTCTTTGCTACCCACTTCTTTCAAGCTAGATCTCTTAACTCTGTAGTACACCAGGGGTTGTTCTTAGTTCTCCTCCTCCTCTCTACCTTCATATTCTTTTTTAAAAAGATTTTATTTATTTATTTGAGAGGGACAGAGAGAGAGAGCAAGAGCACAAGAGCAGGGGGAGGGAGAAGCAGACTCCCCACTGAGCAGGGAGCCCAAAGACAGGGCTCAATCCCAGGACCCTGAGATCATGACCTGAGCTGAAGGCAGACACTTATCTGACTGAGCCGCTCAAGTGCCCCCATATCCTTTTTTTTTTAAGCTTTATTTATTTATGAGAGAGAGATAGAGAGAATGTAAGCAGGAGGAGGGGCAAAAATGCAAAAATCTTTAACAAAATATTAGCAAATCAAATCCAGTGATACATAAAAAGATATTACATCATGAGCAAATGAGGTTTCTTTCAGGAATGAAATATATTTTTTAAATTTTAATTTTTTATTAACACATAATGTATTATTAGCCCCAGAGGTACAAGTCTGTGAATCGCCAGATTTACACACTTCACAGCACTTACCATAGCACATACCCTCCCCAGTGTCTATAAGGAATGAGATATATTTTTAACATTGAAGGCATTTTACCACACCAATAAAGAAAAAACCCACAAATTATACAGTCATCTAGGTACATAAAAAATTAGTAAGTGAAGAACATTTGACAAAATGCAAGACCCATTCATGATGAAACTTGTAGAAAACTGAAACCAGAAGGCAACTTCCCAAGTCTGTTGAGTGATATCTTACCCCCCCAACAAATCAACAACATCATAATATCAAACTGTTAAGTCATTCCTCTAACATTAGGGATAAAACAAGGATGTCTGATGTTAAACCACCTCTCTACTCAACATTGTACTGGAGGTCTTAGCTATTGAAATAAGGGGAGAAAAAGAACTAAAAGACATACAAATTAGAAAGGAAGGACTAAAACTGTTATTTTTTAAAATTATTTTTTATATTTATTTATCTATTTTTAGAGTGGGGAGAGGAACACACGGGGAGAGGGAGAAAGAATCTCAAGCAGACTCCGTGCCAAACAGATCCTGTGCAGGGCTCAATCTCACAACCCTGAGATCATGGCCTGAGCCAAAACCAAAAATCGGTGCTTAACTGACTGAGCCACCCAGGTGCCCTCAAATTGTTATTACTTGCAAATCACATACTTGCTTTGGGTTTTCTAGGTTACACAATCTTTATAAATTCAGAGTTAGTGAATTTATCAATGTTGCTATGTATAGGTCAATAAATAAAAGCCGATTGTATTTCTATATATCTGCAATAAATTAAAAATGAATCATACCATTTACATAAAAATACAACACATACCTCAGAATGAGTTTAACAAAATAAGCAACACCATTACACTGAAAAACACAAAATTTCTCTGAGAAATTAAGGAAGACCTAAATAATGAAGAATATAACATGCATGGACTAGAAGGCTCAATATTGTAAATATATAAAAATTTCCCCCAAATGTATGTAATGAAATACTGATTAAAAATCACAGAATTAAAAATCACACAATTTGTGGAAATTGAAAAGACGATTCTAAAACTCATATGAAAATCCAAAGGTCCCAAAATAACCAAGGCAATCTTACTGAAGAATAATAAAACTGGAGGACTTTTGCTGCCGTGTATAGAAATCCATTATACTGGTACAGTGTTTAAGACAGTGAGATACTGGTGCAAGGGAAGACAAATGGACCAGTGGAATAGAATAGAGTCTGGTAATCAATCCTTGCATATATGGTGGCCTGATTTATGACAATTATGCTACAGCAATGCAGTGATACTGCCCCAAGTCAATTCCAGATAGTTAGAGACTCTGTAAATATTAAATAAAGTTTTTAGAGGGAACAGAAGAGAATACCTTCTTGACTTCGGAGGAGACAAAGATATACATTTTTAAAATATTTATTTATTTATTTTTTAAAGTTTTTTATTTATTTATTTGACAGAGAGAGAGATCACAAGTAGGCAGAGAGGCAGGCAGAGAGAGAGGAAGGGAAGCAGGCTCCCTGCTGAGCAGAGAGCCCGATGAGGGGCTCGATCCCAGTACCCTGGGATCGTGACCTGAGCCGAAGGCAGAGGCTTAACCCACTGAGCCACCCAGGTGCCCCCTCCTTCTTCTTTCTTTTCTTCTTCTTTTTTCTTCTTCTTTCTTCTTATCTACCCTCTAAGCAAGTTCGAAATATACACAACAGGATTGTTAGCTAGAGACAGTATGTTGTATAGTTTTCCAGAATTATCTTTATCAATAAAATTTAACAATATTAATTCTTGATAATGTAACTTGTAAAACTGTAATTTTGTAGCTCTTGAACATCACCTCCATGTTTCTTCCTCCCCAAGCCCCTGGCAACCACCATTTTACTCACTGCATCTGTGATCTTGACTATTTTGGATTCTACCTATAACTAAGAGATATAACTATCTGGCTTATTTCACCTGCCATAATGTCCTCCACGTTTTTCAATGTTGTCACAAATGGCAGGATTTCCTTCTTTTTAAAGGATGAATAATATTCCATTGTATGTTTGTGCCACAATGTACATCCCTGCATACTGTTTTCCATAGTGGCTGCACCAATTTACATTTCTACCGACAGTACATGATGATTTCCTCTTCTCCACATCTCCACCAACACTTACCTTTTCCTTTTTTTCTTTTAATGATAGTCACTCTGACAGATGTGAGGTAATATTTCACTGTGTTTTGATTTGCACTTCCCTGGTGATCAGTGTTGTTGAGGACTTTTTCATGTACCTGTTGGTCATTTGCATGCCTAGAAAAATGTCTATTCAGGAGCTTTGTCCATTTTTATTTTTTATTAAAGATTTCTTTTAATTTTTACTTATTTGACAGAGATCACAAATAGGCAGAGTAGCAGGAAGAGAGAGAGGAAGGGAAGCAGGCTCCCCACCGGGCAGAGAGCCTGATGCGGGGCTCTATCCCAGGACGCTGGGATCATGCCCTGGCCAAAAGCAGAGGCTTTAACCCACTGAGCCACCCAGGTGCCCTGCTTTGTCCATTTTTAAATTAAATATCTATAGATCTGAGCTCTTAACAATTACAGGAGTTCCTTATTTTTTTAATATTAACCCTTTATTGTATATATGATTTACAAATATTTTTCCCTAATCTGTAGGTTGCCTTTTCATTTTGCTGACTTTTTTTTTCTATGAAGAATGTTTTGACTTTGAATTAGGCTCACTTGTTTATTTTTGCTTTTGCTGTTTGTGCTTTAAGTGTCTTATCCAAGAAATCATTGCCAAGACCAACATCAATGAGCTTTTTTCTGTTTTCTCCTAGGGGTTTTGTGGTTTTATGTCTCATGTTTAATTTTTAAATACATTTTGAGTTGATTTTTTGTGTATGGTATAAGATAAGGGTCCATAATTCTTTTGCATATGGTATCCTGTTTTTCCAGCACCATTTATCCAAGAAACTCTCCTTCCACATTACGAATTCCCAGCTCCCTTGTTAATGACTGTTTGACTGTATATGTGTGAGTTTATTTCTGGGTTCTCTATTCTGTTCCATTGATCTATGCGTCTGTTTTTATTCCAGGACCATGCTGTTTGATTACTATGGCTTTATAATATAATTTGAAATCAGGAAGTGTGATGCCTCCAACTTTATACTTCTTGCTTAAGATTGCTAGGTGCCTGGGTGGCTCAGTGGGTGAAAACCTCTACCTTCAGCTCAGGTCATGATCTCAGGGTCCTGGGATCAAGCCCTGCATCAGGCTCTCTGCTCAGCAGGGAGCCTGCTTCCTCTTCTCTCTGCCAGCCTCTTGCCTGCTTGTGATTTGTCTCTGTCAAAGAAATAAATAAAATCTTTTAAAAAATTATTTAAGATTGCTTATTTGAAGGCTTTTGGGCTTCCATCTGAATTTTAGGATTTTTTTTTCTATTTCTGTGAAAAATGCCACTGCAACATGATAGCGCTTGCATCGAATTAGTCCATCACTTTGGGTAGTATGGACATTTTAACAATATTCTTTCAGTCCGTGAACACGAGATGTCATCCCATTTATTTTTGTGTTTTCTTCTATTTCTTTCATCAAGGATAATTTATGCACCTCCTTGGTTAAATTTGTTCCTACGTTTGTATTGTTTTGATGCTATTGTGAATGAGACTGTTTTCTTAAAAAATTTTTTAGACAGTTTGTTAGCGTACAGAAACACAGTTGAGTTTTGTTGAGTTTGTATCCTTCAACTTTAATAAATCTGTTTATTCCACATTTTTTGGTGGAGTCTTTAGGGTTTCCTATATATAGGATTCCGCCTCCTTTAACAGTTATGCACATTTGCATTTTTCTCCATAAAGAGAAAAGTAAGTTACAGAGACTCTAGGAAGAATCAATGTTCCCTCAGAGGAACCCTCAGTCACCAGCAGCCTGCACCTGCACGCTCCTGGGGGCTGGAACTCCCACAAATCTCTGGGCTGAGCTCCGTTAGGGGCGGACCCAAGTTGCATGCTGGGAACAATCTGAAACCGCAGAACGCTGGGCTTCGGAAGCGTTTCCACTTTGGGACTGCATTTCCCAGTGGCCACCACGGGGAGTCAGCGACCACTTCCGGCCATCCCAGGGTCGTCGTCGTCGTGGTGGGGCGAGGCCGTCAGGTCGAGGAAGGGGTCGGGGGCTGCTAGAGAGAGGCCTCTGCTGAGCAGGACCCCAGCCGGAGGGATCCGCCAGTGTGGGTGGGCAGACAGAGGCGCTCAGGACAGGCAGCTCACAAGCACCCGAAGGAGCCTCGCTTGAGCGTGCGCGCGCAGCGAGGAGGGGATTGTGCGACCGCCAGAGGCGGACGTGGAGGTTGGGGGGGCGGCTGCGTGAGGGCGCTCCTGGTGCTGAGGTGCTGTGGTGACGGGAGGGGGGCGTGGGGACACTGAGCGTGCTTTGCTGTGGCTGTGTGTGTCTGTCACTGGGATCAGTGGGCCCTCCGCTTCCGCCGTTTTCTCCCCTCCCAGCCACGTGGCTGTAGCCTACCAATGGCCCCAGTAGGGAGGTCGGATACTGTCCCTAGAATGAAAGTTTCCCCCTGAAAGCCCAGGCCTGGACTTGGAATAGGAGTTTGAGAGCTGCAAGTGTCTGTCTGCGTCCCGCACGGGGGCAGCTCCATGTTCAGAACCACCGCATTTTCAGAGTACTGTCCCCAGGAATCAGCTTCCAACTCGGGACAGATTGCTCCTTTAACTCCCATCCCATTCTGTGCGAAGTAAGGGAGGTGTGACCCTGGAGGGTGCTTTCAAATTTAGTCTGCCGTCCAAGAAAAGTCTGGGGTCTCATGCTTGTCTTTTCCTTCCCCTTCTACCATTATCCATAAGGACCCCAGGAAGGATGAGAGTAGTAGTATTGCTGCACGTCAAAGTCAAGGGTGAGTTCTGCTTTGTTTTGCATAAGAAAGGCGTTTTTGTTTTTAGAATATAGAGGTTCCAGTAAATTTTCAGGAAATGTAGGGAGACCTGCAAATTGATACCCCACCATTTGGTCCCCCGTTGCCTCTCACATCTTCACTTAATATTCACTTGGTAAATAATTTGATACACCAAAAACCGTTTGGTAAATGTGTTCACATCTTCTTGAGCACTCCGTTTTTCTAAGATGACACGGAAATAAACCTCCAGCGATTAATGCTAAAGCTTAATTTTAGACTCTGATTTGGTAAGAAGGAAATCAGTGTTTAGGTAGAGTCACACACTGAATATCTTTTGCTTTGTAAGGGCCTGCTTTTCGAAGGAGAGAAGAATGGAGATGGTTAGCTGATTTCAGTCAGTCTGAGGCTTTCAGAAAAGCGCCTCTGTCTGCCCACCCACACTGGCGGATCCCTCCGGCTGGGGTCCTATATGCTCATTTCTCTCAATTTCTATACAACGTGGGCCTTGGGAATATGTGATCCATGATTGCTGCCTGCATGTTAAGACAAGGAGTGAGATGCTCAGGCGATATAAAAATTCTTGGGGCACCAATGTGGTTCAGTTGGTTAAGCATCTGACTCCTGATTTCAGCTCAGGTTGTGGTCTCAGGAGTTGTGGGATCAAGCCCTGTATGGGGCTCCATGCTGGGCATTGAACCTGCTTAAGATTTTCTTGCTCTCCCTCTGCCCCTCCCTCCCCTTCTGTCTCCCTCTCTTAAGAAAAAAAAAGAACAAAAGTGCTTAACCTGAGTTGCTGTGACTCCATTTGTGGTCTCAGGGGACGACAAATCCCTTCAAATAGTATACGGAAGTGTTATGGTGGATTTGGTGGGGGAAGTGTATAGTTTCATGAGATTATTCGAAGCATGCATGACCTAAAAGGCTTGGACTCGATCTGTGTAGATCAGTAGTTCCTAACGGGGTGATTCTGCCCTCCGAGAGGCGTTGGTGGTATTTAGAGGGAGCTTTGGTTCCCACACTGGGGGCCAGTGATAGTTGGATCAAATAAGTAGAGGACAGAGATGCTACTAACATTTTACAGTGCGCAGGAGAGTCCTCCCCACCCTCCTCCCCACCCCACCCCGGAAACAAAGACTTTTCTGGTTTAATATGGCATTAATGCAGAGGATGAGAAACCCGGGAGTGCTATTTAAAATGATCTTGTACAAACTGAGTAGTTAAGCAAATCACACTAGACTTGTGATGGAGTATTATGCACTTAGGAAAATTACGTTCATAAATAATCATGAAAAGAGAAAACATTTGCTCTCGTGTTAAGCAGTATTCATGTTAGGGACAGTAATACTCAGGAAGATGTATATGAGTCCCATTTACTAAGCGAGGGCATTCTGTAAGGATTCTCTCCAAAATGATGTTTTCATCAGTTTCTTAAGAAAACCAAGCCTGGTACTGTGTATATGCGTATGATTTTCTTACTCAGTCTGTAGGTGCCACTTACCTGCCTTGTGTTTTTCAGAAAAGAATCTTGATCATGGAAGTTTGATTGTCTTGGTGAGATAACAGGTAAAGGTTAGAACTGGTTGCTGTTACTTGTGATAGTTACATTGATTTGTCGGCTCTCATGACAAGCTCGACTCTCCTGACTCTCCTGACGAGCTCTGTTCTTTAATGACTGATAGCTTCCTGATAGCTCTCTTTTTGTTTTTCTGGTTTAATTTGGAAGTAGCTTTACTGTGGGTCTTTGTTTGTTTGTTTTGGGTTTTGTTTGTTTTAGAGAGACAGCCTGAAGCAGGGGGAGGGAGGGGCAGAGAGAGAGAGAGAAAAATCTTCTGCTTCAGGCTCAGTGTGGAGCCCCATTCTGGGCTTGATCTCACAACTCTGAGATCATGACTTGAGCCATAATCAAGAGTTGGATACTTAATTGACTGAGCCACCCACGCGCCCCTTTATTGTCTATTTTTGATGATGGAATAGTGCAAAACTTATTTTTAAGGAACTTAAGAAGAAAGTTAAAATTACAATACCCCCCTCTAGGGGTAGTCATTATCTATGCCTTGGTTTATATTTTTCTCATTATTTTTTTGTGTGAATACGAGCGTTTTGTTTCTGTAGAATAGAATCAGAATCAGTTCAAAAAACAAATCAAGCCATTGTTTTCATTCATTTCTGGGCCTGTGAGAGAGGGCATGACACCAATGCCTCTCTCTGAGGCTTCTGGCCTGGAAGACTCCTTTTCTCCTTGTCTTTCTGAGAACCCTCTTTGCTAATGTGATTCTTTAAGAATTTCATTCTCCAAGTTAAGCTCTGAATATTTTTGGTTAGCATTCTAAAAAAGAACAGGCCTTACACTATATTTTGTTGTACGACTTACACAAGGAAAAGGGAAACCGTGGAGTTAAGTTTCTTTAACAAACGTAATCTTTATCCTCAGTTAATATGTGTCATTATGCATTTCCATTGAATTCTCTTAGTATTTTTTTAGGTTTCTTATTTCTGCAGCACAGAAGTCTGAACAAGAGTAACTAGAGCAGAGGTTGGCAGAGCCCAATCAGAAAAAGTCATCTCGTGTACTTTGAACGTTTACAGGAAAGACACCTCTTTTGGGCTGTAGTGTCACCACACTTTGACCAAATTATAAGCTCATGGAATTTCTATAGAGTTAAAGAAACTGTTGGAAAATTTGTACCTTACTTAGAAATTCTAAATCTGTTCAATGCAAAGTGATTAATAGTAGAAGATGATACAGTGGCTGTGTAGGGAATATTGTGGCCAAAATAATAGTTTTATTATTAATTAAACTTAAAAAAAAAGATTTTGTTTATTTATTTGACAGAGAGAAACACAGCAAGAGAGGGAACCCAAGCAGGGAGATTAGGAAAGGGAGAAGCAGGCCTCCTGCCGAGCGGGGAGTCCGATGAGGGGCTTGATCCCAGGACCCTGGGATCATGACCTGAGCCAAAGGCAGACGTGTAATGACTGAGCCACCCAGGTGTCCCCGAAGTTATAGTTTTAGAGACTGTTAAGAGGACATGTGAAACTATCAAATATATACAGGACATTGCTCGGGGCCTACAGACATTTTTTCCTACAAATTATTGTAACCTGCTCAGATAAATATAGATATTTTAGTGTTGATTCAAGAATTAGGAAATAGGGGCGCCTGGGTGGCTCAGTGGGTTAAAGCCTCTGCCTTCAGCTCAGTTCATGATCCTGGGGTCCTGGGATTGATCCCCGCATTGGGCTCTCTGCTCAGTAGGGAGCCTGCTTCCTCCTCTCTCTCTGCCTGCTTCTCTACCTACTTGTGATCTCCGTCTGTCAAATAAATAAATAAAATCTTAAAAAAAAAAAAAAGAATTGGGAAATAAAGGAAACAAACCCATTAAGTAAAAACAAGAGTTTATTAGAATATCTTGAGTTTTTCCAAGTTCATAGGGAAGTTGTTTAAGTAAAAGTTTGTCTTTCATCTGACTTAGAGAACAGCTTCCTCATAGGAAAAAATACATATAAATGTACACATACATATATGTATGTGTTAATGAATATAACTATATATACATTCCAAGTTGCCAACGCACCATAGTTGCAATTGTGAAGCACTCTTAAGCAAAAAATAGAGAATTGGAGCCACAATACGTGATAAGAACTGTTAATGTGAAATGTAATTTTCCAGAATTTTTTTCTGTCAATGTCTGTTAGTTTTTACATATATACACATGTTTTATAGATGTAATCATATTCTGCATCCTGTTTTGTAACATGAGTTTTCTGCTGACCATGTATCTTGAGAATGTAATGACTACTTAGTATTCTGTTATGAGGATGCCCTGCCCTGTGTAACCGGCTGGCTTTGGTGGACTTAGAAAGCCAAACTCTGCCTGAGTAATTCCATTTACATCCTTCTCAGTTTTCATGCCTTGCCCCACTTCTCCCAATTCTGAGTTCACAAAGAGGTTCTGATGTGGTTGATGTGACCCATTCTCAGCCCTGAAAGGTGGGATGGCGGAGGAGGATCTGCACAGAGCAGGATAGGGGGGCCCAGTCCTAGGCCTAGTCATGCGTCCCAAGAATGGAGGATCCCTCATGCTAAGATATTTTGGAGGACAGCATGTTCCCCGGGGCTTGGGAGAGCTTGATTTCGTCCAGACTCCTCATGTTTGAGGCCAGTTTGTATGGGGGATGGGAGGAAAAGGCAGAGGGATGGAGGGAAAGGGAGATTGTATGAAGCAGAGAGGGATAAAAGAGGAATTTTAGGGAGTAGGTGAGACATAAAAGTGGAAGAAAAAATTGTTGTATTAATATGAGTCACTTAGAGAGCACCAAGGCACGGCTTGGCTTGAGTCCTTCTTTGTTTTTTCTCTCTCTCTAGGAGGGGAAGCATGAGGAAGATGGACCAGTTTTGTCATTCTAAAAACATGGCCTATGTAAGTCGATATTTCTTCTCCCGAAATATAATGACTTTTTTTTTTTAGCCATTCCCTGCCATGCGGGTATCAGTAAGTCATCCCACAGCACCCAGCGAGTGTGCTGTGCAGCCACAAGATACTTCAGGAACCGGCAGGCACGCTGAGAAGTGGCATATTTTCCCTGTCCTGCATGGCGGTTCTTCGCCTCCTCTCTCTTCACCTTGCAGTAATTTCCTTCAGTTTCACGGTAAAGCATGTATGTGTGGTTTCAGGGATCTCTGTCATTTGGGGATATGGCCATCAGCTTCTCCCAAGAGGAGTGGGAGTGTCTGAACCCTGCTCAGAAGGCCTTGTACAGGCACGTGATGTTGGAGACCTACAGCAACCTGGTCTCCCTGGGTAAGACTATCCCGCAGTAGTAGTTCAGTCTAAAGATTTATATTACAATAAAGGGATGCCTTGGTTAAGTGACTGCCTTCAGCTCCGGTCACGATCCTGGGATCCTGGGATCCAGCCCCGCACTGAGCTCCCTGCTCATTGGGGAGCCTGCTTCTCTTTCCCCCGACCCTGCCCAGTGCTCTTGCTTACTCTCTCTGTCTCTCTTTTTCTCAAATAAATAAATAAAAATCTTTAACTAATATTACAATGAAATTGGTATTGAACAGTTATAATTAATAATTTAAATTTTAATAATTTTGTAATTTAAAACAATTAATAATTTAATAAAGTATTAATATCTCTTCTCTGGAACATCAGCTTGCTTCACCGTGAGTTTCAGGGCCATCTTTTAAGAAATAGCTGAGTTCCTTCTTGTTCCCAGAGGAAATCGTTTGGAATTTGTCAGATTGAAAATGGGCCTGTCTGTTTTTACAAATTTAGGGGCACCTGGGTGGCTCAATTTGTTAAACGTCTGACTCTTCATTTCAACTCAGGTCATGATCTCAGGGTCATGAGATTGAGCTCTGTGTCGGGCTCCACACTGGGTGAGGAGTCTGCTTGAGATTTTCTTTCTCCTTCTCCCCTGCCCCCTCTAAAAAAATATTACTACAGATTTAACCAGATCTCAACCAAAGGTTTTTGGTTTGTTTTATTTTGTGGGGTTTTTCTTGTTTGTTTGTTTTTGAATATTTAAAAAATTTTTTTCAGGATGCCTCGGTGGCTCAGTCAGTTAAGCATCTACCTTCAGCTCAGGTCACGTATCCCAGCGTCCTGGGATCGAGCCCCGCATCGGGCTCCACACTGAGCATGAAGCCTAAAATTTTTTTGTTCTGTCTCTCTGCCCCTCCCTCTCCCTGCTTATACTGTCTCTCTAAAACAAACAAACAGGGCGCCTAGGTGGCTCAGTGGGTTGGGCCGCTGCCTTTGACTCGGGTCATGATCTTAGGGTCCTGGAATCGAGTCCCGTATTGGGCTCTCTCCTCAGCAGGAAGCCTGCTTCCCTCTCTCTCTCTGTCTGCCTCTGCCTGCTTGTGATCTCCCTCTGTCAAATAAATAAAATCTTAAAAATAAATAAATAAAAATAAAACAGAACCCCACAATAAAGCAACTTCCAAATTAAACCACAGAAACAAAAACAGAGCTATCAGGAAGTGGGTACTTTCAATCATTAAAGAACTGAGCTTGTCATGAGAGTTGACAAATCAATGTGACTATCACAAGTAACAGCAACCAGTTCTAACCTCCTTTACCTGTATCTCACCAAGATAATCAGAAATTTCCATGATCAGGATTCTTTTCTGAAAGAACACAAGGCAGATAAGTGGTACCTGCAGACTGAGTAAGAAAATCCATGTGCATATACACCGTACCAGGCTTGGGTTTCTTCATTAAGATACTGATGAGCCTGTTTCTCCTTCTGCTTGCTGCTCCTCCTTCTTGTGCTCTCTCTCTCTGACCAATAAATAAAATCTTAAAAATAAATAAATTTCTACACCATATGTCATGTGATTTCTCTTTTTGTTTGTTTGTTTTTAAGCAGAAAGTTCCATTTCTAAGCCAGATATGATTACCTTACTGGAGCAGGAGAAAGAACCTTGGATGGTTTTGAGGAGAGAAACAACTGGATGGTACCCAGGTGAGTAGAGGAAAAGCTGGCAGAGAGGAGCAGGAGGGTCAGAGAGGGGTCATACCCCTGAGATGTGGTTTGGAAAAATGCCTTCAAAGACCCAAGGCCTGTTGGATTAAAAATGCCCGAGATCTGAGAAGGAAATAAAGATCACACAGCATGGGCTCTCACAGGAACTCCATCTTTTGCTAATTATCTCTAAGTTTTGTTCTTTTATTTCCTCTCCTTTCAGTGGAGTGACCTTTTTTTTTTTTTTAAAGATTTTATTTATTTATTAGAGATCGCACGCACATGAGCAGAGGGAGAGGGAGAACCCCAACCAGACTTCCACACTGAGTGCGGAGCCTGCCGAAGGGCTTGATCCCACGACCCTGAGACCATGACCTGAGCCAAAATCAAGAGTCAGACACTTAACTGACTGAGTCACCCAGGTACCCCCCCACAGTGTAACTTTTTAACATATATTTTGCATCCATCTGCTTTCTAGCTCTGCTTTTGCATTTAAATTTCTAAGATTTATTTATTTATTTATTTGACAGATCACAAGTAGGCAGAGAGGCAGGGAGAGAGAGAGAGAGAGAGGAGGAATCAGGCTCCTCCCCACTGAGCAGAGAGCCCGATCCGGGGCTCGATCCCAGGACTCTGGGATCATGACCTGAGCCGAAGGCAGAGGCTTTAAACCCCTGAGCCAATATGTGTTTCTAGGATCTAAAAAAATGTTTTCATATATTCAGCAAATATTTATTGAGGGTCCACTCCAAGCAAAGCACTGTGCTTGGCACTGTGTACAGTGAAATGAGCATGACTGATAGAGTCATGCTCTCATGGACTTCACCTGCCCTTGGCAAGAAAGACATGGATCAGTCATGTAAGCAGATGAGTAAGTCAGTACTGTCGGGAATGATGCTGTGCAGACAGGTGTACAGGAACAGTGCAGGGAGAATGACAGGGTTGGGTGGTTAGGGAGCATGTCTTGAAGTGGGCGTGCTTGCACAGAGTCATGAAGGAAGGGTTCAGGCCACAAATCTGGGCAGGAGCATTCTAGTCTGAGCAGGACACACAGAGGTCCTGAGCAGGAGATGGTCTCTTTATACCTGGGAACAGTAGGAAGTTTCAAGCCAAAGAGACAAAGGGATGGTGGGAAGGGAGGTCTGGGAGTTAGGCCAGGACCAGATCCTACAAGGTTCTGATTATCATTGTGAAGAACACAGAATGTTTTCTAAGAGTTACTTAGAGCCATGTTCTATGTTGAGAGTGTTCTTCACTTCTTAGTTTTTAAATAAACTAAGTATGACAAGGACACAGAAAACTGCAACACAGAGAATTGCATGATTAAAAGTACCTACACTTGTGGGGCACCTGGGTGGCTCAATGGGTTAAGCCTCTGCTTTCGGCTCAGGTCATGGTCCCAGGATCCTGGATCGAGCCCCGCATCGGGCTCTTTGCTCAGCGGGGAGCCTGCTTCCCCCTCCCTCTCTGCCTGCCTCTCTGCCTACTTGTGATCTCTGTCTGTCAAATAAATAAAAATTTAAAAATATATAAAAAAAATAAAAATAAAAGTACCTTCACTTGTAACCACCAGGCCATGAGTCACAATTTTGCCAGCTGTTCTGGAAGCCTGTTGTGGGTTTCTTTGCACTCACAAACTATCCCCTCCCTGCAGGAAAGGTTTTCTCTAGGGTTTTATTGTCTGAGTGAACATCTCCAGTCTGATTTCATTTTACCTATCATTTTAAAAAGTCTTTCAAGTCTCTTTTAGATGAAAGGTTTCTCTTTGTTTTTTTGTGAACTGTTTTTTTCTTCATTAAATTAGAGCATTTGTCCTGTAGTTTCAGACCATCTGGATTTTGCTGACGACATCTTGGTGTTATGGAGGAACATGTTCCTCTGTCTCCTCTTATGGGTCCAGAACCTTAATCAAACTTTTGGGAAACCTTTTTTCCCCCTAGGTGTTGGTGACACTCTTCAGTCCGTTGACTTGTGATGTCTGGATTTCCTGTTCTAGTGTTATCAGCAGCCACTGACAGGCAGTAACTATGTCCCTTAATTCGTCAGAGGTTGTAAATTGGTGGATATTCGAATTCTGTCATTTATTCTTTATTAGCTGGAATGCATGTGTAAAAAGAAACTTCACCTTATTTACTACTCAGTTACTCAGTTGTACAGCTCATATGAAAATTGAAGATAAATATTCTTTTCCTTTGTTTACTAATTTTCTAAATAACGTGTTGGTTTCTTACATCCGTTCAAAGGTGACCCTTTTGGGGGGCACCTGGGTGACTCAGACGGTTAAGCGGCCGAGTCTTCATTTTGGCTCAGGTCGTGATCTCAAGGTCCTGGGATCAAGCCCCGTGTTGGGCTCCCTGCTCAGTGGGGAGCCTGGTTCTCCTGCCCCCCCCCAAGCTTGTTTTCTCTCTCTCTCTCAAATAAATGAATAAAACCTTTAAAAAACAAGAAAGAAAACTAGATTCACCGGTCGTGAACATTTGGCCACCTTTGCTGTATGTATTTATGTATCTAAATGTTTGAAACCTTTTTTTTTTAATTTTTATTTAAAAAGATTTTATTTATTTATTTGACAGAGAGAGAGAGATCACAAGTAGGCAGAGAGGCAGGCAGAGAGAGAGGAAGAAGCAGGCTCCCTGCCAAGCAGAGAGCCCGACGCGGGTCTTGATCCCAGGACCCTGGGATCATGACCTGAGCTGAAGGCAAAGGCTTTAACCCACTGAGCCACCCAGGCACCCTGTTTGAAACCTTTTTTGCTGAACCACTTGTAGGTCTAAGTCACTGATGTTTTGACATGTGGTACTTAAACATTTCACTTTGCATCTTCTAAGAATAGGAAAGGTCCTAATAACCTTTCATTATTCCTAATTAGCTTTATTATCTTAATTAACCTAAATAACATACTATTGTCACACCTAAGAAAATCACCCTATTTCAGGAGTATCATCTGCAGGTCACAGCTCACAGCTCATAGCTCACAGCTAAATTTCTCTCATTTCTCTTTAAAACTTTCGTTTATTTGGTTTTGTGGGAGTGTGTTTCAATTTAAGATCCAGTCAAAGTTCATGAACTGATTTATGGATCGGTTTCTTTTTAAAACATTTTTGTTTACTTTTACTTTTTTTTTTTTTTTTTTTTACTGTTAGGCTTTTTCAGTCCCTTTTTATCTGAAGAGCTTCTGTGCCATAAAATTTATTTAAATTTAATTTTTTTTTAATTTGGCTTTTATCTCTCTCTCATTTTCTAAGTCCAGTCTTGTTTACCTAAACTATGACATTCTGAATTTTTTTTTTTAAGATTTTATTTATCTATTTGACAGACAGAGATCACAAGTAGGCAGAGAGGCAGGCAGAGAGAGAGGAGGAAGCAGGCTCCCTGCTGAGCAGAGAGCCCAGTGCAGGGCTCAATCCCAGGACCCTGGGATCATGACCTGAGCCGAAGGCAGAGGCTTTAACCCACTGAGCCACCCAGGCACCCCTGATTGGTTCTTTTTAATACTTACTGTTTGTTTTCAAAGGTCTCACTGAGATCATCCACTCTTTACTCAAGTCTAGTGAGTATCTTTATGATCATTACTTTGAATTCTTTATCAGGTACATTGCTTATCTCTGTTTCATTTAGCTCTTTTGCTGTGATTCTGCCCTGTTCTTTCGTTTGGGACATTTTCCTCTGTCCTCTCATTTTATATAACTCTGTTTCTGTGTATTAGGAAAGTCAGTTACAGCTCTTGATCTTGAAAATAGTGACCTCTGGGCACTTGGGTGGCTCAGTGGGTTAAGTGTCTACCTTAGGCTCAGGTCATGAACCCAGGGTCCTGGGATCAAGTCTTGCATCGGGCTTCCTGCTCAGCAAGGAGTCTGCTTCTCCTTCTGCTGCTCCCCCTGCTTGTGCTTGCTCTCTCTGTCAAATAAATTGATTGAATCTTAGGAAGGAAGGAAGGGAAGAAAGAAAGAGAGGTAGGCAGAGAAAGAAAGAAAGAAGGTCCTGTGGTACCCTGGGGTGCAGTGTCTGTCGTTCACCAGAACAGGCACTTCAGGCTGTCTTTGTGTGGGTTGCCTGTGCTCTGCTGTTGTGGCAGAGCCTCTTTTGCCTTCAGCCCATTGGTGGCGATGGCTCACTTTGCTTGTTCTGGGTAAGGTTTGGTCTCTCTGCTGTTAAGAGGTCTGTTGGGGGCCACTAGGGGCTTGCAGATCGGTGGTGTCAGCAGTCAGACTCCGTGCTTGCTCTCAGCCTGTCTACTGGGACTGTAGTTGCGCCACCTTGCAAGGCACTGTCTCTGCCTTTCCCCCTGAGAGGGGGCCAAGTTCCCTTGCTCACTGGTAGGCAGGACTGGCAGTCACACTGCCTGCTCCTAGACCATCTGCCAGGGCTGAAGGTGCACTGATCAGCAGGGTACTCTCCGTACCGCTAGCTATAAGGTTTGGTTGCTGGAACTGTGGGTACACTGGTGTGTGTGCTTATCCTTCCCCTGACCACAAAGCAGGAGTCTCTTTGGAGTGGCACTTGTCCCGACTGGGGCTGCTTGGAAGGTGTGTTGAGGCCGGAGCCTCTCTGGAGTGCAGTGGGTTGGATGGGGCAGATCCTCAGGAGAATGCGAAGGTGGGGCATGCAGTGCTAGAAGGGTAGGTGCTGTGTGTTTACACTGGTTTGCTAAAGCTTCCAGCTATCTAGGCAGTGATTGGGGGTGGGCAGGGAACGGTTCCTGCTGGCTCTTTTGTTCTTGGGGAAGTTTCCCAAAGATCCGTGTCCCTCCAGCGCACATTCTGAGATTAGTAAATAAATGTTCTTCATGTATACCCCAGGTGCTTTTTCAAACTGCTTATTCTATGTTGTTATCTGAGCAGGTTTTTTGTTATGCTGGCTCTAAAAGGACAGGGACTCGAGTTTCCTGTCACCCTCTGGCTCTCTCCCAGAACCAAACCTGCTGATTTTTAAAGTAACCAGAGTTAAGCCCCACTGATTGTAAAAACTTGTGAAGTTAAGCCCACTGGTTTTCAAAACCAAATGTAACGGGACTCATCTTCCCAGTGTGGGTCCCCCATTCCTGGGGTGCCTGGTGTGAAATCTGATCCTCTTCTTTGTGTTTGTGGTGTCCCTCCTGTTTGTGGTTATTCTCACTGGGGGTTTGGTTCCCAACTTCATCTCCACCCCTTCTACCCTTTTTGATGTGGCCTGGTCTATGTTATTACCTGTGGAAAGTCTGTTCTGCCATTCTCAGGTCATTTTCATAGTTGCACTGATGTGGCTGTTATCTTGGTGTGTCTGTGGCAGGAAGTGAGCCCAGGATCCTTCTAATGCACCATCTTTCAGAACTCTCCCTATATCTATATTTTTGTTGAGATTTTCTATTTTTCCATTTGTTTCAAGAGTATTTGTGTTTGCTTATTGGAACATTTGCGTAATTATGGTTTTAAAGTCTTTGTCAGGTAATTCAAACACCTGTTAATCTCAGTGTTGGCATCTGTTGATTTTCTTTAACATTGTGATATATTTCGGCAGGTGCTCAACCTAGTTAAGGTTCCAGCTTCAAGTTTCTACCTGTTTTCTGTGGTTGGTTTTCCCATAGTGACATATACATGACCAGTGGGGTTCAGATGTGAGTTTGTTCCCATTTGAAACAAATAATCCGAGAATGGTTCAATTTATCAATTTAAGTAGTTTTGAATGAGTGATTATTATGATAAGCCTTTCCCAGTGGCTCATTTTTGCATTATATACCTTTATTCTCAGCCTTACTTCTTTTATCAGTACTTTTCCAATTACTTAACACCTACTGTGTGCTATGGGCTTATTATTCAGTGGTGAATTCTATGAGGATTGTGTCTCCTCCTAGGCAGATTTAGGAATAAGAAAATATACAGAATGAGAAATGAGCTATTGAATGAGTGAATGTATAATTAAAATAGAATTGTGAAGGCAAGGAATGAGACTTTTGAATAGAGAATAAAGGAGAGGGATATAATTAGATGGGCCCAGCAGGAAGGCATTTCTTTTGAGTCTTAAAAATGAGACTGTTGTCTCCTACAAGCAACTAATGCCACAGGATTCTTGTGTGATGGATGAAACAGTCTGACCAAAGCATGAAGATACTGAAGAAATCACTATAATGTTCAGAGCACTAAAAGAAGGCAGTGGGGTAGAAATAGGGTCCAAAGGATGACAGTGGCTTCATAGGTCTTGTTATCCATGGTAAGCGTTTTGGATTTTATTATAAGAGTAAAGACTAACCATTCAAAACAGTTTTTAAGTGTGGATCCTTGAACTTTGATCTGCATCACAATTATCTGATAGAGATGTTAAAAATACAGCATCTTAGGACTTATTCCTAACAATTCTGATTCTTTGCATCTGAGTTGCTTGAATATCAATACTTTTAACAAGCCTACCAAAGGATTTTGATTAACACTTAAATTTCACAGTTCATCCCTTCCCATATTATGAACATCACCATCTAACATAAACTTTCTGCATTTTCGGAGCTCTTCTTAATCCTTTTCCAAATATTCTGGAAGTGTCTTTTATATACTTCACTATATATTTAAAAAAATTTTTTCTAAGACAGTTATCATATGATCTGTCTGATATGAGAAATTTGAGAGAGAAGGCAAAGGTCTGGGGGGTAGGGAAGGAGAAACAAGATGGGATCAGGAGGGAGACAAACCATAAGAGACTCTTAATCTCACAAAACAAACTGAGGGTTGCTGGGGGGAGGGGGGTAGGGAGAGGGTAGTTGGGTTATGGACATTGGGGAGGGTATGTGCTATGGTGAGTGCTGTAAAATGTGAAAGCCTGACGATTCACAGACCTGTACCCCTGGGGCAAATAATATATTTATATGTTAATAAAAATAATAATAATAAATAATCCAAAAAAATTTTTTTCTATATGTATATATATTTTTAGAGTTATATACTCTTCAGTGGATTTTGTACATGTGTGTACAGGAAGATAAAATGTGTTTGTTTTCTCCTTTTCTTTCAGATTTGGAGTCAAATTATGGAGCTGAGAAGTTACCTTCAGAAAATTATATTTATGAAATAAATTTGCCTAAACTGGGTATAAAACAAATAAGTAAAACTCTTGGCCTCAAGGCCTCCAATTTTAGAAATGACTCAGATAGCAAAAATAGATTTAGGGAACAACAGGGACATCAAGATGGGTATATCAGTCAACATATAATAAGCTAAAAAAAAATGCATACTTCTACTCATAGTACTTCTCCTATTCACACTACAGATAAGCCATATGAATGTAAGGAGTGTGGAAAGTACTTTAGTCGTGGTTCAAATCTTGTTCAGCATCAGAGTATCCATACTGGAGAGAAACCCTATGAATGTAAGGAATGTGGGAAGGCCTTTCATCGTGTGTCAAACCTTGTTCAACATCAGAGTATTCATGCTGGCGTGAAACCGCATGAATGTAAAGAGTGTGGGAAAGGCTTTAATCGTGGTTCAAATCTTGTTCAGCATCAGAAAATTCATTCTAGTGAGAAACCCTTTGAATGTAAGGAATGTGGCAAGGCCTTTAGTCTTCTGACACAGCTTACTCGACATCAGAACATTCATACTGGTGAGAAACCATTTAAATGGAATGTGGCAAGGTCTTTCATCGTGGCTCAAATCTTGTTCAACATCAGAGTATTCATACCGGGGAGAAACCCTATGGATGTAAAGAATGTGGAAAGGCTTTTCGACTTCACCTACAACTTTCTTGACATCAGAAAACACATACTGGTGAGAAACCCTTTGAATGTAAGGAATGTGGGACAAGCTTCAGACATCAATACCAACTTAGCATCAGCAAATTCATACAGGTGTGAAACCCTATGAATGTAAGGAATGTGGAAAGAGCTTTAGTCGTGGTACAGACCTTAGAGTACATCAGAGAGTTCACACTGGTGAGAACCCCTATGAATGTAAGGAATGTGGGAAATGTTTTACTTGTGGTAGTGAACTTAGAGTACATCAGAGGATCCATACTGGTCAGAAACCATATGAATGTAAGGAGTGTGGGAAGGCATTTAGTCGTAGCTCAAACCTTATTCAACATGTTAAAATTCATACTGGCGAGAAGCCCTATGAATGTAAGGAATGTGGGAAAACTTTCAGACTTAGTTCAGTCTTTACTGCCCATCAGAGAATTCATACAGGTATGAAACCCTATGAATGTAAAGAGTGTGGAAAGACCTTTAGTTGTAGCTCGAACCTTATTCAACATGAGAGGATTCATACTGGTGAGAAACCTTATGAATGTAAGGAATGTGGAAAGGCCTTTAGACTTAGGTCGGTTTTTATTACCCATCAAAGAATTCATACAGGTCTGAAGCCCTATGAATGCAAAGAATGTGGAAAAGCCTTTACTGTGAATGGTCAGCTTACTCGACATGAGAAAATTCATAATCGTCAGATGTCCCATGAATATAAGGAATGTGGGAAAACCTTCACTGGATATGAACAACTTATTCAACATCAGAGAGTTCATAGTGGCAAGAAGTCCTATGAATATAAAATGTGGGACGACCTTTCATCATGGACTGAGATTCACTCAACAGCACAGTATTCCTACTGGTGAAAAACTTTGAGTAGGAGTAGCATGGAAAGATTTTACAGTCAAAGCAAACACCTTAGTGTTGAGAGGACCTTCTGGTGAGAAAGTCTTTGAATGTAAAGAAATAGAGTAGCCTTCACGTTCACAGTTTACTAATCATGAAAGAATTTTCCTAGGTATTTTAGTTTCACGCGCTTAGAAAAGCCTTCAAACTCAAACTGGAGGAGAATTTGTTGGAACAAACGCAAGCTAACATCTACTTGAGGCAGGTGCTTTATCACCACTGCCATTTCACTACCTGCATGACATTAGGTGCCTATCCTCTTTGTGCGTCATTTGTAAATGGCAACAATGGTGAGTGCATACTAGTGCAATTACGGAAATAATTGTGTTACAATACGTACAAAATCCTTACAAGAGTACTTGGCACATGCTTGTGTTCATAAAGAACAGCTTTTATGTTTCATTAGCATCATTGTTGATGACACGAAAATTATATTATTGTGTATAATTTAGAAAAATCTATTCCTTAATTATTAAGTTTTAAATAAGTACTGTATAAAATTTTATGGTAAGGAAAAGAATATGAGGATTTTCGTTAAGAGTTCATTCCTTAAGTTACATCAAAAAGTTAATATTGAAAAAAAGAAGTTAATTTTGAAAAGAAACCCTATGGATTTAGGGAATGAGGAGATGTTAAAAAACCAGCTGTTGAAGAGTCAGTTTTTGAAGTGATTTGTCTATAAAAATAACATGCAGAAAATGTATAATTTATTTCCCTGTCCAGAAGTTAAGATAAGTATTAGTGAAAGATCAAAATAAAAGCATCCATTTGTATATTCAACTTTATCATGAAAATTGCTGCACATATGAAAAGTTGAAAGAATGAACACCCATATACCCCTATGTAGATTCAAAGTTGTTAACAATTTGACATTTATTTTTCTGTATATTTTATGTTGTACCATTGAGAATATGTTTTTGACCTCATGATACTTTCCCCTTTATTACTTCAGTATGTCTCCCAAACATAAAGACAATCTCATATAGAGCCATAGTACCATAATTACCCTTAAGGAAATTCTCCATAATTCCACAGTATCTATCTTACCAGTTTCTTCACCAGCCTCTAAGAGTGGGTTATTTAAGGTTCATTTAAATAAATGAACCACAGAGGTTCATTTAAGTAGAATGCATTCCAGATTCTGTACTGTATTTTGTTAGCACTCTATATTTTAGTCTACAACGGTGACTCAAAATTTCCTGGGTATCAGAATCATCTGTGGTTCTTAGTAAAAATACAAAGGTCCAGGCCCACTGAACCTCTGTTTTTTCTAGCTGTCCAGGCGATTTTGGTATGCAAAATGGTATCTCTATAGAGAGCCACAGATCTAGAACATTTCCCCTTTTGCAAATATTCTTAAATAATGTTGACTTCTTGAGAAGTCCAGGAAAATTGTCTGCCATGTGTTTAGATTTTTTGTTTCTGTATAGTGTCATTTGGCCCCCTTTTATTCTTTGTGTTTTCTGTACAAAGGAGATGGGGGTGGGGAGCTTCAGCCGCATTCCACAAGTTCAGTCATGTTTGCATTTTAATGGATTTCATTCCTGAATAGTCTATTTCATTTTTTAGTTTTCTATTTGATTCAGAATTTAAATACATATGATTATAAATTTCCAAAGAGGTGACAGTCTCTCCACAGATCTTTACAATGGAGGTCTGGTGTCCTCTGACCCACATGATCAAACTTAGTTTTACTAACAAAGCAATGACCTGTCCTTACATGCTTTCTGACCTGTTGCAATATGACATATAAACATAACCTACAAAGTATTCTCCCCTTAAAACATGTAATCTGAACCTAATGGAACCTCTAGGCCCAGTTTTCTTTGTTTTGTGCATTTTTTAAAAGACTTTATTTATTTGACAGATAGAGATCACAAGTAGGCAGAGAGGCAAGCAGAGAGAGAGGAGGAAGCAGGCTCCCCACCAAGCAGAGAGCCCAATTCGGGGCTTGATCCCAGGACCCTGAGATTATGACCTGAGCCGAAGGCAGCGGCTTAACCCACTGATCCACCCAGGGATCCCAGCCCCTGTGGTTCATATGATTTCAAGATACACCTCAACAATGACCATCAGAGAACTTCAAAGAACAGGCATTATTACAGATCCCAGAAGGCACACCCAAGGGTAACACAGTGGGGTTGCAGGTATAGGGAGAGAGAGTTCAGACCTGGGGCTCTGCTTTTATTAGGAACTGAGTGTAGGATGTCTAGGGTTTCACAGTTTCCTTATTGGCCAATTTAAAGCCTGAGCAAGAATTAACTTACTGGAAGGGAGAAGCAAGGTTAATCAAGTGGTCAATTATCTAGGTTACCCAGGGCTTTCTGAAACAAGGAGCCTCATGAGTGAAGGTGGCCTAATTCCTTCTCTGGTTGTTTTGCTAGTAGTTGTGTCAAACAGCTGGTGATATGTCTATTCAACATGGCTGTCTTTTGAAGTGGGTGCCTCAGCGGTGAAGATTAATGTCAGGTATTTACACTATCTATTATCAAAAAACTTAATGTCAGCACTTATTACCCTGCTATATTTTACACGAATTGCTTTTTCTTTAAATTCATTTAAGCTTTTTTATTTTTAAGATTTTATTTATTCATTTGACAGACAGAGAGCACAAGTAGGCAGAGAGGCAGGCAGAGAGGGGGCGGGCAGCAGGCTCCCTGCTGAGCAGAGAGTCCCTGGGATCATGACACAAGCTGAAGGCAGAGGCTTTAACCCACTGAGCCACCCAGGTGCTTCAAAATTCATTAAGCTTTTAAATCACATAAAAAGAAAAAAAAACTACAAAACATTGCATACTAGTTTGTCTTGTTGCTCAGTATTTACCTTTATTGAGATCTTTATTTCTCTATATGGCTTGTGTTACTGGCTAGTGTCTTCATTTGACCTTGCAAGACTCCCTTAAACATTTCTTGCAGGGTAGGTCTAGTGAGCACCTGGCAATGTCTTCATTTCTCTGTCAATTTTGAAGGGCAGTTTTTCTAGATATAGGATTCTTGGTTGAAAGGTTTTTTCCTTTGGCATTCTGCATATATTGACCCACTGTCTTCTGGCCTCTAAGATTTCTTCTGAGAAATCTGATAATTTCATTGAGTATCCCTTATATGTAATGATTCACTTCTCTCATCACTTTCAAGTTCTCTTTGTCTTTTGAAAGTTTGTAATGTGTCTTATGGATCTCTTTTTATCAATTTTTTAAAGATTTTATTTATTTATTTATTTGACAGAGATCACAAGTAGGCAGAGAGGCAGGCAGAGAGGAAGCAGGCTCCCAAGCAGAGAGCCCGATGCGGGACTCGATCCCAGGACCCTGAGATCATGACCTGAGCTGAAGGCAGAGGCTTAACCCACTGAGCCACCCAGGCGCCCTATCAATTATTTTTTAAATTGAAATGTAGTTGATACAGGCATGGATCTCTTTGACTTCATTTTGTTTTATTTAAACCATTTTGTTTTATTTGACAGAGATCACAAGTAGGCAGAGAGGCAGGCAGAGAGAGAGAGAGGAGGAAGCAGGCTCCCCACCAAGCAGAGAGCCCCATGTGGGACTCGATCCCAGGATCCTGAGATCATGACCTGAGCTGAAGGCAGAGGCTTAACCCACTGAGCCACCCAGGCACCCTGACTTGATTTTATATAAAGGTTGGTGTGCTTTTTGGATGTGCATGTTTACATCTTTAATCAAATTTGGGACATTTTGGGGCACCTGGGTGGCTCACTGGGTTAAAGCCTCTGCCTTCGGCTCAGGTCATGATCCCAGGGTCCTGGGATCGAGCCTCACATTAAGCTTTCTGCTCAGCAGGGATCCTGCTTCCCCCTCTCTCTCTGCCTGTCTCTCTATCTACTTGTGATCTCTCTCTCTGTCAAATAAATAAATTTAAAAAAATTTTGGGACATTTTCAGCATTATTTCTTCCAATAATTTCTTCAGATTTTTTCTGCCTTCCCCCGCGACTTTTCTCCTTCTTGGACCTGCCTGATGCATATATTGGCCACCTTGATGATATCCCAGAATTCCTTTAGGCTGTTTGCTTTTCCCTAATATTTTTTCTTTCTGTTCCTCATACTCACAAATTTTCATTGTTCTATATTCAAGTTCCCGGAGGCTTTCTTCTGCTGCCTTTGGATCCCTCTAGTGAATCTTTAATTTCAGTACTTTTCAGGTCCAGAATTTGTTTTCTTTTTTAGATTTCCACTCTTTATTGATATGTCCATTTTGTTTGTGCATTATTTTCCTGACTTTCTCCACATTTTCCTTTAGTTTTTGAGCATCTTTTCAGCGAGCATCTTTAAGGCAGTTGTTTTAAGGTCTTTGCCTAGTATATCTGCCATTAGTTCTTTTTCAGGGACAGTTTCATTGATTAATTTGTATTTTCTTTGAATGCTCCACACTTTCCTATTTCTTTGTATGCCTTTTGATTTTGGTGTTGTTGCTTCAGTTGGCCATTTGAATCTAATAAGTGTGGTAACTCTGGAAATCAGATTATCTCCCCTCCCCTCCCTAATAATTACTATGCTGTTTTGTTTTGTTTTGGAGGTTATTTGTTTATTTTTGGTTTTTGGTTTTGGTATTGGTTTTTAATTATTGTATGTCATCTCTGTGCCAAGGAGAAGTCTGAAGTTTATAGGTCATAGATCTTTTCTGATCTAATACCTCGTGTTCCACTTCCAGATCATAGAGTAAAAAGATATCTCTGCAGACCCATTCCCAAGTAAAAGAAGTAAAGCTGAAAAATAACATTTGAAATTCCACAACTAAATATTTACAATATGGAATATATCCTAAGGTCATATGGCAAGTGAAATATTCTTCCAAAAAAAATTTACTGAAACTTGGCAAGAACATCAGGAGTCTGGCCTTTAAAATATGGCCTGTTCCCTCCTCCACTCTGGAGCTCCCCTTGATAGAAGCTTCATTGTAGGTAGGTGTGGCCAAGAAGATGGGGTTCCCTCTCCCTCCAGGTCTTGATCAAGTGTTGCCGTATCTCAGAGGGAGGGGGAGAATGCAAGTGTTTCTCATCCTTACCAACTCAGTTGAAGAGGCTAAATGCCTGATGAGTATAGTTGAGTACTTAGGGACTTCTGCCACCAGCCCCTACCCTACGTAGGTGGGGTACTCTACTCAAGCACAGTAAGCTCAGAATACTGGGACCTGACTGTCCTCATGTCAGGTCACATTTTAGACAGATTCTACACTGAGAGAAGCAGGATGAGAAGCACAGTGCCCAGAATAGTTGTTCAGAGATTTTGCCCAGAGGGAATAGCAGTTTGTAAGAAAAGAGCTCTGAAGCTCTCTCCAAAGGAACTGATTTTATTTGAAACAGTATAGGAAAATTCAAGGCTGAGGGCAGTGTTAAAGCAAATAGTTTGTCTCAATAAAAATAACCAAAACCATAGAATAGCTATTTCATCATACACAACTGGGGCCTGAGCTAATAATTACTATGTATTTTAAGGCCAATGGCATGATTACATAAATATTTTTTCCATACAACTTTTTAAATCTCCTAGGAATAAATATGAAGCTATACTGTATTATATACTGTACTTTTTACACTGTACTTTTATACTGTACTGTTACTACTTTTGTTTTATTTGATTTTGAATTTCTGTCCAGAATTACTTCATTTCAACATGAAGAACATTCTTCAGTATTTCTTTTTAAGGTAAGCCAGGTAGGAATGAACTCTCAGTTTCTATTTTCTGGGAATGTATATTTTACCACCTTTTGGGGGAGAGGTGTTGGGGAGGAACAGAGAGAGAGAGAGAATCATTTTTTTAAATTTTTTAAAAAATATTTTATTTATTTGTTTGACAGACAGAGGTCACAAGTAGGCAGAGAGGCAGGCAGAGAGAGAGGGGAAGGGAAGCAGGCTCCCCGCTGAGCAGAGAGCCCGATGTGGGGCTTGATCCCAGGACCCTGAGATCATGACCTGAGCTGAAGGCAGAGGCCTAACCCACTGAGCCACCCAGGTGCCCCGAGAGAGAGAATCTTAAGTGGACTTCCCACCCAGCATGGAGCCCAACGTGGGACTTGATCTCACAACCCCAAGATCATGACCTGAGCCAAAATTAAGAGTTGGGCGCTTAACTGATGCTTAACCGACTGAGCCACCCAGGCACTCCTACCATCATTTTGAAAGATAATCTTGCTGGTCATAAGATTGGTTGGTAGAGTTTTCATCTTGAACAATTTGAATATGTTTTCCCACTGCCTTATGTCCTCCATTGTTTCTAATGAGAAGCAAGCTGTTAATCTTATTGAGGTACCTTTGTGATTGATACATTGATTTCCTCTTGCTGCTCTCAAGATATTCTCCTTGTCTTTGACTTTCAGCATTTTTACCTTTATGTATCTCTTTGTGGGTGTCTGCACGGATCCTGCTGGGAGTTTGTTGAGCTTCTGGTATGTATATATTAATGCTTGTCAAAAAATCAGGGATGGTTTGGGGTGCCTGGGTGGCTCCATTGGTTATGCATCCAAGACTCTTGATTTTGGCTCAGGTCATGGTCTTGGTATCCTGAGATCAAGCCCTTGTGTTGGGCTTTATGCTCAGTGCAGTGTCTGCCTGTCTCTCCTCTCTTTCCCTCTTTCTCATAAATAAAATTCTTGAAAAAACTGGGGATGGTTTTAGCCATTTTTTCTTTTTTTTTTTAACTTCTTCGATATTTTAATACTGTGAGGAAAACAGAACAAAGGTGTTTTTAAAAATACTTATTTTCACTTCACAAACTACATTTAGCCATTATTTCTTTAAATATTTTTCCTCTTCATTTTTTTCTCTCTTCCTCGTTTTCTCATTAAATGTACTTTGATGCACCTAAAGATGTTCCAAATTTATCTGAGTCTCTGTCCATTTCCCTTCATTGTATTTTCTCTGTTCTTCAGATTGTATATTATCTGTTTACCTATCTTCAAGTTTTCTGATTCTTCTGCCAATTGAAATCTACTGGTTACCTCTTGTGATTTTTTTTTTTTAAATGTTAGTTATGGCATTCTTCAACTCCAGAATTGCCATTTGGTTATTTTTATTATTTCTATCTCTTTACTGATATTCTCTGCTTGATAAAATATTATCTTCATATTTTTGTTCTTGTTCCTTTTTCTTCCTAAAAACTGGATTAGTCTCCAGCTATCTTTTCCCCTGAACTCTGTGAAGCAATCTGCCTCATTTGTATCATTTCCAGCCCATTAGGCTCCACTGATTTCCTGCTGTTTGCTGTGCTGTTTTCAACAATTTCTTGGAGGTGTAAATTGCTCAGTAGTCTCATCCAATTTAATTCTGGAAGGGCTAGTTTTTAAGTTCAATCTTTGAGGTGTGTTTTGATCTCAGTATTTATCCATGGATATGTATAACAATAAGAGTGCAGAAAGTGGGAGGATGGAATGAAACTACATAGGAGTAACATATACATCAGTGGAATTAAGTTGCTATAACCCCAAAGTCAATTCTACATTAAGATGTATATGGTATGTAGGGCACCTGGGCGGTTCAGTCAGGTGTCTGCCTTCAGCTCAGGTCATGATCCCAGGGCCAGGGTCCTAGATCAAGCCCCACGTCGGGCTTCCTGCTCATCAGGGAATCTGCTTCTCCCTTTCCCTTTCCCCCTGCTCCTCCGTCCCTTCTCGTGCTTGCTCTCTCAAATAAATAAAAATTTAAAAAGATGTATATGGTATGCTTCAGAGAATCTACTAAGAAAATAACTTGAAATATATAGTGAATGAGTGCTTGCTTCAGCAGCACACATTCTAAAATTGGAACAATACAAAGAAGATTAGCATGGCCCTGGTGCAAATAGGTGATAGGTTAATAGGAGGGCACTTGTGATGAGCACCAGGTGTTGTACCTAAGTGATGAATCACTAAATTCTACACCTGAAACTAATATTATGCTGTATGGTAACTGGAATTTATTTTTTTTAAGATTGTAATTAGTTTATTTATTTGACAGAGGGAGAGATCACAAGTAGGCAGAGAGGCAGGTAGAGAGAGAGGGAGAAGCCAGCTTCCTGCTGAGCAGAGAGCCCGATGCGGGGCTCAATCCCAGGACTCTGAGATCACGATCTGGGCTGAAGGCAGAGGCTTAACCCACTGAGCCACCCAGGTGCCCCTGGAATTTAGATAAAAACTTGAAAAACATATATAGTGAATGAGAAGAGAATCAAAATTTGTCACTATATAAAACAAACTAACACCAAGGAAGGCAATAGTGGAGAAAATGAGAGACAATAAGATATAGGAAACAACAAAATAGCAAAAATAAGTCGTTATCAGTAATTGCTTTAAATGTAAAGGGATTAAACTCTCCAACCAAAAGATGTAGATTGGCAGAATGGATATAAAACAAAACAGAATCCAATTATATGATGTCCACAAGAGACTCACTTTAGATCCCAGACATATAGTTTAAAAATGAAATGATTAGGAAAGATATTGTGAATAATTACCAAGATAGAGAAGGAATGGCTAATACACAAAATTGACTAAATTGACTAATACACAAAATTGACTAAATTAAAAACTGTTACAAAAAACAAAGAGGGACATTATATAATATAATGATAATGAGGTCAATATACCAAGAAGATATATCAGTTACAAACATAAATGTGGCAAACATCAGAGCTCTGAAATATATAAAGCAAATGCTGACAGAATTGAAGGGAGAGACTTCAGTACTCTACTTTCAATAATATACAGGACAACCCGATTGATGATCAATAAGAAAATAGAGGACTTGAGCAATACTAGAGAACCATTGGACCTGCCATATATACCACCCAACAATAGAAAACATTTTCCTCAAGTGCACATGGAATATTCTTCATGATAGACCATATGTTAAGCCACAGAACAAGTATTAAAAATTTTTAAAAGATTGAAACTAGAATTCAATGGCATAAGGAAAACTGGAAAATCAACAGATATGTGGAAATTAATCAATACACTCTTAACTAATGAGTTGAAGAAATCACAAGGGAAATTAGAAAATATCTTTTTAAAAATATTTTATTTATTATTTTTTAGAGAGAACATGAGAGGGGGGAGGATCAGAAGGTAAAGCAGACTCCCAGCTGAGCAGGGAGCCCAATGTGGGACTTGATCCTGGGACTCCAGAATCATGAACTGAGCCAAAGGCAGTCACTCAACTGAGCCATCCAGGCACCCAAAATTAGGATTTTCTAATATCTAATATCTAATATCTAATTTTCTAGTATCTAATATCTTGAGACAAATGAAAACAAAAGCACTAACTACCAAAACTTGTGAGATGCAGCAGAAGCAATAATAAGAGTAGACAGTAAATGTCTATATTAAAAAGATTTCAAATCAACAACTGAACCTCACACCTGAAAGAACTAGAAGAGAAGAACTAAACCCATAGGTACTAGAAGGAAAGAAACAATAAAGATCAGAGTAGAGAAATAAAATAGAGGATAGAAAAACAGTAGGGACAATTAAGTAAACAGTAGAGGAAATTAATGAAGTTGTTTCTCCAAAAAGATCAACACATTGACAAATCATTAGGTAGGCTGACTAAAAGGAGAGAAGACTCAAATATCTACATTAGAAATGAAAGAGATGGAGGTTCCTCAGAATGTTAAAAATAGAACTCTGGAAAACAGTATGGAGTTTCCTCAAGATGTTAAAAATAGAGCTACCCCATGACCCAGTAATTGCACTACTGGGTATTTACCTCAAAGATACAGATGTAGTGGAAAGAAGGGGCACATGAACCTCTATGTTCATAGCAGCAATGTCCACAATAGCTAAACTGTGGAAGGAGCTGAGATGTCCTTCAAGGGATGAATGGATAAAGATGTGGCTCATATATATAATGGAATATTACTCAGCATCAAAGGATGAGTACCTACCTTTTGCATTGACATGGATGGAACTGAAGGGGATTATGCTAAGTGAAATAAGCAGAGAAAGACAATTATCATATGGTTTCACTCATATGTTGAATATAAAAAATAGTGCAGAGGACCACAGGGGAAGGGAGGGAAAATTGAGCGGGAAGAAATCAGAGAGGGAGACAAACCATGAGAGACTCTCAACTCTGGGAAACCCACTGAGGGTTACAGAGGAGAGAGGCATAGAGGGATGGGGTAACTGGTAATGAGTATTAAGGAGGGCATGTGATGTGATGAGCACTGGGTGTTATACGCAACTAATGAATCACTGAACACTACATCAAAAACAAATGGCTAATGAACATAATTAAAATAACTTTCTAGTATATGATAAAAATTTTCAATATTTATAGTACATTCTTACAACTAATAAGAATAGGGACTTTTTTTTTAAAGATTTTATTTACTTATTTGGCAGACAGAGATCACAAGTAGGCAGAGAGGCAGGCAGAGAGAGAGAGAGAGGAGAAAACAGGCTCCCTTGCTAAGCAGAGAGCCCAATGCGGGGCTCTATCCCAGGATCCTGGGATCATGACCTGAGCCGAAGGCAGAGGCTTTAACCCACTGAGCCATCCAGGCACCCCAGAATAGGGACATTCTTATAGTAAAACTTACTCATTGTTTATCTGAAATACAAAAATTAAAATACAAATTCGAAGGGATACATGCATCCTGATTTTATAGCAGCATTATCAACAATAGCCAAACTATGGAGAGAACCTAAGTGTGCATTGACTGATGAATGGATAAAGAAGATATGGTGTGTATCTATGTATGTGTGTATACATATATAGGTATAATATGATGAGCACTGGGTGTTGTATGTAAGTAACGAACCACCGAATTCTACTCCAGAAACCAATATTGCGCTGTATATTAACTACCTAAAATTTAAATTAAAAAATAATTTAAAAAATAAATAAAAATTTTAAAAAAGAAATGAAAGAAGTAATATTACCAAGTTTATAGGAGAGTACTATGAACAATTTGTGCCAGCAAACTGGTAGCCTAGATGAAATGGACAAATCGCTAGAAACACAACCTCATAAGACTGAATCATGAAGAAATAGAAAATCTAAATATACTTAGAACTAGAAAGGAGATTGAATCAGCATTCCAGTACCTTCCAACAAAGAAAAGCTTGGGATCAAACAGCCTCACTGGTGAATTCTTCCAAATGATTTTAGATCTTAATTCTTTTATGGTACCATAGGCATGTATGTAAGCTATGAATTTCCCACTAAAAACATCCTTAACTGCATCCCATACATTTTGATAGGCTTTGTTTTTATTCTCCTTCAGTTCAAAATACTTTCTAATTTCTCATAATTTTTTTGAGTCCTAGAGTATTTAGAAATGTGTTGATTAAAATATTTTTGGGTCCCACATTTCCTTAGTTATTGATTTCTGATTTATTTCCATTGTAGTCAGAGAACATACTTAGCATGATTTCATTTTTTAAAAAATTTATTAAGATGCTTTATGGTCTAGCATATTACTTTGCCTGGAGAGAATAATAGGGCATGCTACCTTGAAAAGAGTGTGTATTCTTCTCTTGGTAGAGTGTTCAATAAATGTCAGCTTAGTCAAATTGTTTGCTAGTATTATTTAAGTTTTCTGTATTCCTGCTGATTTTCTGCTGGATTGTTATATCAATTATTGAGAGTATATTGCTTAATTTTCCAACTTCTATGAATGAATTGTCTATATCTCCAATTTTGTCAGTTTTTATTTTGTATAACTGTGGGTTCTGTTGTTAGGGGCATACATATTCATAATTGTTATATTTTCTTGAGGAAATTACCCTTTTATTATTAAATAATGTCCTTTTTCTCTAATAACTTTTTAAAAACATATTTTATCTGATATTAATGTGACCACCCCTTCTCTCTTCTGGCCAGTCTTCATATGATGTATCTTTTTCCATTTTTTTCACCCTATTTCTGTCTACTGATATGGTTCAATTTATGTCTGCTAGTTTGCTATTTTTCTATATGCCTCGTGTTTTGTTTTGTTTTTTAATATCTAACTTGTATTTGTTAAGCAACAATGTATTAGGCATCTCCAAGGAAGATCTGGGGTTTATCTTCTTGTTTATGAGTTTGGTATGCTGATTAAAATCATTAGATGCTTTTTAAAAATTCTTTTTAAAATTCCAGTCCATATACTAGAGAAGGGGGGAAGGGCAGAGGGGGAGAGAGAGAGAGAATCTTAAGCAGGGTCCACACCCAGGATGGAGCCCAACATCAGTGCTTGATCTCACAGCCTTGGGATCATAACCTGAGATGAAACCAAGAGTCAGCAGCCCAACCCCTGATTGCACCATCCCGGCATCCTTGTCAGAACTTTTCAAAGTCCCTGTCCCTGTCTTATTTTCCAGTTCTCCCAACCAGTTTCATAGCCCTAGGCAGATGTGATGCTGATATTCAGAGTGACACCCCTTGCTATTGTTTTCAGTAATGCCCTGAGGACAGACCTTTTCCAGAGTTTCAAATCAGGCGAGTCCCCTCTGATGACTACCAGACCTCACAGTTTCTGTACTTTCTAGTGTTGGTTGAGAACGAAGGAGAGTGACCCAAGGTAGAATGTCACAAATTCCACCGCTCTTAGTGAAGTTCAGTAGTGTTTCTTCAATAAATGCTTTTTAGTTTGTCATGTAAATTCAGTTAATTTATAGTGTTCTAAAATGGTAAATTTGTTTGCTTTTTTTTTTTTTATCTGAGGGAGATTTACTGAGATCCTTACTGCACCATTTCAAACGTCCCTTCTTAGCAGTTTCTCATAGGGTTAAATGTACATATGACTTAGAAATTCCATTCCGAGGTATTTATCCTAAAGAAATGAAAACTTATGTTCACACCAAAACCTGTACAGTAATGTTTGTAGAAGCTCTATTCATAATCCCCAAAACT